TGTGTGTGTGTGTGTGTGTGTGTGTGCGTGTGCAAGTGCGTGTGTGTGCGCGTGTGTGTGCGTGTGTGTGTGGGGACGGGTATTAACATCTTCATAGGGACCAAAAATTGGTAGTTTACGAGTTTGAAGGCATTTTTGAGACTCAAAATGTGGTTTTAGTGTCAGGGTTACAATGAGGTTATGGTTAGATTTAGGGTAAGGGTCAGGGAAAGCATTATGTCAATGAGATGGTGCTTAAACGGTGCTCGGACCGGTGGCTAAAAAATGAAGAACACACACTTTGTCCAGAAACCTCTCTTGTTTAGCTGTTTTTTGTAAAAAGACAACAATGTTAGCCTTTTCTGCAGCTATAGGGGATTTATGGTATCACTCTTGGCTGGAAGCAGTGCTTAAACATTGGAGAAAACACCAATTTTGTCTAAAAACCTCTCATGTTTAGCCGTTTTCCACTTTTTCTTTGGTCATTTTAGCCTTTTTGGCCAGGGTGAAGGGAGTATCTGCCATCAAACAAGAAGACAGCCGCATGTAGCTATGATGATGTTTGCTAGTTCACCTTACATGCAGGTGTTGAGGAACCAGGGCACCCTGACGAGAAGTGGGCTACTGGAACAAGAAGGCATCAGTGGGCAAGAGACCAAAACAGGGCGTTGTTGGAGTGCTACTACGCAAGTAAGATAAGATAAGATAAGATAACTCTTTATTGTCATTGCACAGTCATACATAGTACAGTAGTACAATGAAATTGGAAAAACTGTCCTACGTCGGCACTACATATAACACAACACGACACGATATGACACATCACAACGTAACAAACAACACAACACAGTATATTGACTTAGTATAAAAAAGAAGAATAAGTGTATGTGTATTGCACACTGTTATTATTGCACATTAATTATTATTGCACCTTGTTATAAATATAAATATTATTGTTATCGTTTTAAACATTGTTACCTCCCCCTAAAAAGTCCAGGGAGGTATCCAGTCAGGTCAGCTATTTACATTGATCAGGGCTATTGCCCTGTTGTAAAAGCTGTCCTTGAGTCTATTTGTTCGGGACCTCAGCAGCCTGAACCTCCTGCCAGACGGCAGCAGCTTAAACACCCGGTGTCCTGGGTGTGTGCAGTCCCGTAGGATGCTGCGTGCCCTCTTGAGACAGCGAGTGCTGTATAGGTCCTTCAGGGAGGGAAGAGGATGTCCAATGATTTTTTGGGCCATGTTGATGACCCTCTGGAGTGCCTTTCTGTGTGCTGTGGTGCAGCTGGAGAACCACACACCGATGCAATATGTCAGCACACTTTCAATGGAGCAGCGGTAGAAGACGCTGGCGGAAGGGGTTACATGAATAAACAACTAGTAGCTCAGTGTTCCAACATTCGAAAGAAGGGACTGCTCTCACAGCTAGAGATTGACGAGGTACAACACAAATGCTACGGCAAGGGGGAGCCAGGACGCCAGGTCAGGAGGGAGATATCATCACCCCCACCCGAGATTGGGTATCAAGCTCCAAGTGCGATAGGAGAAGGATCGTTGAGTGTGAGAGGAACTGACCTGAAAAATAGGATCATGGCCAAGCTTGAAACCTGGACCCCCCGTAGCCGGTTACCAAGATTACGTGAAGTACCCTCAGAAGGTCTGCTAGATGATGTTAATGCAGCACTACGGACGATACCTACAGCCACGATTACCGAGACTAACAAGCTGATTTACAATACGGCAGCAGTGATCAGTGAGATGCTTGGCTACAAGTTGAACAGCGACAAGGGGCAGTACCCTCCATGGAGAAGGAGGCTAGAGGCTAAGATCAAGGTAGCACGGAGGTAGGTTAGCCAACTATTGGAGTTGCAGAAAGGCGCGATGAGGAAGGTGCCTAAGAAGTACAGGAAGCTGTCCATACCTGAGGCCTTGGAAACTGCCAAGCAACGACTCACAGCCTTGGCCAGCCGCTTAAAGAGAGATAGAAGGCAAGAGAATAAACCAGCTGTTCTCCATGGAACCAGCCAAGGTGTACTCTCAGTGGCAGGGGAACAATATGAGAACAGCACCACCAAGGCTGGAGGCAGAACAATACTGGAAGAGCATATGGGAGAAGGACACAACCCATAACGGCAATGCTCAGTGGCTAGAGGATCTGAGGGCAGACCACAGCGACCTCCCTGAACAGGGTCCAGTAACCATCACCGTGGCAGATATCCAAGAAAGGGTCTCCAGTATGAAGAGTGGGACAGCACCAGGCCCTGATATGGTTCATGCCTACTGGCTGAAGAAGCTGACTGCACTCCACGAGTGCCTGGCAGCACAAATGAACCAGCTGCTAGTTGACGAGAGACACCCGGAATGGCTAACCGAAGGCCGGACAGTCCTGATCCTCAACGACCCCCAGAAGGGACCGGTCCCCTCCAACTACCGACCAATAACCTGCCTCAGTACTACATGGAAGCTCCTGTCAGGCATCATAGCGGCTAAGATGAACAGGCACATGGGTCAATACATGAGCGGGACACAGAAAGGAATTGGCAAGAATACCAGATGCGCAAAACACCAGCTACTGGTAGACAGAACAGTCAGCAGAGACTGCAAGACCAGACTGACCAACCTGTGCACTGCCTGGATTGATTACAAGAAGGCCTATGACTCAATGCCCCACAGCTGGATACTGGAATGCCTAGAATTGTACAAGATCAATGGGACCCTAAGAGCCTTCATCAGGAACTCAATGGGGATGTGGCGTACAACACTAGAGGCCAACTCCAAGCCCATAGCACAAGTCACCATCAAGTGCGGGATCTACCAAGGAGATGCTCTGTCCCCACTGCTGTTCTGCATAGGCCTGAACCCCCTCAGTGAGATCATTAACAAGACTGGCTACGGATACCGACTACGGAACGGAGCAGTTGTCAGCCACCTCCTGTACATGGATGACATCAAGCTGTATGCCAAGAGTGAACGAGACATCGATTCACTGATCCACACTACCAGGCTATACAGCAATGACATTGGAATGTCGTTCGGGCTGGAGAAGTGTAGCCGGATGATAACAAAGAGAGGGAAGGTAGCCAAAACTGAGGGGATTGAACTACCAGAAGGCAACATTGCAGACATAGAGGACAGTTACAAGTACCTGGGGATCCCGCAGGCAAATGGGAACCATGAAGAGGCCGCTAGAAAAGCTGCAACCACCAAGTACCTGCAGAGGGTCAGGCAAGTCCTGAGGAGTCAGCTGAACGGTAAGAACAAGATCCTCTGTCAGTGCGCCCCAGGGCAGCTGTGGCTACAATGTAGCTTGCTATCGCCAGTGTGTGAATGTGTGTGTGGATGGGTGAATGACTGAATGTAGTGTAAAGCGCTTTGGGGTCCTATGGACTAGAAAAGCGCTATACAAATGCAGGCCATTTACCATTTACAAGATCCGGGCTATCAACACCTACGCCCTGCCCGTGATCATGTACCCTGCTGGGGTAATAGGCTGGCCAAAGGAGGAGATAGAAGCCACTGACATAAAGACAAGAAAGCTCCTTACCATGCATGGAGGGTTTCACCCCAAGTCCAGCACCTTGAGGCTGTACGCTAAGCGGAAGGAAGGGGGCCGGGGACTGGTGAGTGTCAGCACCACAGTCCAGGATGAGACAACGAACATCCACGAATACATCACGAAGATGGCCCCAACGTGCTCAGTGAATACCTCAGGCAGCAGAAACCCAAGAAAGTGGAGGGAGACGAGGAACCATCATGGAAGGACAGGCCCCTGCACGGTATGTACCACCGGCAGATAGAGGAGGTGGCTGATATCCAGAAATCCTACCAGTGGCTGGACAAAGCTGGACTGAAAGACAGCACAGAGGCACTAATCATGGCAGCACAAGAACAACCTGTTGCTCTACCTCTGGATCACTGGATCACAGTACAGTATCTTGTTTCGCTTTTTGTTGTCGTTTTATTTTTTGTAGCAATAATTGGACTGTAAGAAATTCCTGATAGTTGTTGTTCTGAATTTCACTGAATGTTGACCAAGCAGGTATTGAAAAAAATAACAGTCCATGTACCAACAAAATGAATGTGTCCTCCACCATAAACTGGAGATGGACCTTATTATCAGCATTCAGTTCAGAAGCCTGCATCTCTGGTGGCATGGAGGTACATTAGTACACATCTGGAAAGGCACCATGCCTGCTGAATAGTACATACAGGTTTACAGGCCACATATGCTCCTATTAAGACAACATATTTTTGAGAGGACGGTTTTGTTGCTTCTGTCAGGGTCCTGGATCTCTGACGAAGCATTTTGTATATTTTGGACTCATTGTTTATGTTCAGTTATGTACAGTTTTCTCTCTTCTATCCCTGTAGACCGTAGTGTACTCCATTTGTATTTATTCCCCAGTTATAGATATTGTCGGTTCTGTACACTCTTGTAATTTTACAGCCATAGTTCTCCACTTCCCTTCGTCTCTGTATTAGGTATTCCGTTATGTTATTTCCTCTCTGACTTTGGTAGCCCTTGTCTTGTGTGTTTAATATTCAGTTTTAGTTTCCCAGTCTCGTTTCCCAGTTGCTTGGACCTGTGTGTTCCCAGCAGTTGTGTTAACTTCTGCAGTTATTTGTACCCTCATTGTGTTTTGTCTCGCTGTCTTCATCATATTGTTTGCTTTTTGTTTTTAAGTGGTACATTTTCTCAGTTTAAACATTTGATGTATTTTCTGTGTTTCTGTGTTTCTGCAAATAAAATATGGGTTGAATTCATTTGCAAATCATTGCATTCTTTTCTTATTTGCATGAATCCCCCTACTGGAGCGCTGAGGCATTACCAGTGGACCAATGTACAATCAACCCAGCAACGGTGTCAAAGCCAAAACCTAAAATGATCCATTACACTACAATTTACTCTTATTCACAGCAGTAGTAATAAAACAGTAATACCAGTCTGTCATGGTTTCAGGTCAAATTGAGAGGATAAGATGATGAAGTAACAGTAAGCTTGAGTGTGTACAAGTTCATACCTCGGAACGGGTGACAGGTACAGAACTAATACCGGCATTCACCGCCTTCCAGGACCGAGCAGTCAGTACACAGGCAAAGAGGGGGTACAGATCCCCAGCGCCCAGTCTGCGGCTGTAACGCTCCACCCCTGACATGTCGCCCTTAATCAAAGCCTGCCACAGCTGACAGTAGTTCAACCTGAAGTCTGGTTGCAGAACCTATGGAGGCAGCAGAGAATATGTGATTAAGAGTGACTGGTTCACAGGTAAGAGGCTGGGCAGTAATACCAGCACTATATTCACTGTTTTACACTGTAGTAGATCACTGAGGTCACTGAGACTTGAACCCATCTGAGATTTTCAGTAGATGCACCTGTGGTATCAACTTGAACATCCTAGGTGACTTCCTTCTTGGGTTAATGCATTCACATTTTTTTCAGAAAACTTGACTTCTGACGTCGAGGTCACTGAGATTTGAAGTTATCACATTCACAAACCAAGGTGTCCAAGCAGTTACCACAGTGTCTCTTCAGGCTTTTAGGGCTTAGGGTTACAAAAAGAGAGAAATCTGCTTCATCTCTTAATGCATTTCTTACTTTAGGCATATTTAATCCCCCTGCTAAGAACCATTTACCAACTCCAGCACTTGGAGCACAAAAGCCCTGCATAGTATCCTACTGGTAATAACACTGAACATGAGTATGTGTATGTGTGTCTATCTTAGCTTGATTAATATTCTTCTCCAAAATCACAGATGAAATCTCAAATCATTAGGAATAAATTGGTGCTATTATGATCCAAGGGAAGTCTCTGTGTACTGGTACTGTGTGTCAAAAATGATGGAGTTGCATATTTATTACTAAAATCCTCTTTATGCACAAAGAAATAGGCAGAAAATAAACTTATGGAAGAATGGTCCATGTCTGTATCAGACTGTGGGTGTTTGAAAGAACGAGTGTGTTAATAATCAAGGAGTGTGTGTGTGTTTGTTTGTGTGTCTAGGACATGAGTGCACACATGTGCCTGTATTATTAAGGCGGTGGTGCATTCAAACACAGCACTCTGCTGAGAACAACATCAAATGAGTTGTTTATCAAAAAGCTTTTATCCTGTGTAGCTCTAATAAAAGTGTGCCTGTTAAAGTGTGTATGTTTATTTTTCATGTGCATCTTAGCTGTCTACCCTTTGACTCAAGGCCTCAGCCAACAGCATGAAAAATGGACAGCAATATTGGAACAAATGGCATTTTCTTTCTGCACAGGCAAGATCGAGATTTCCCACCTGATACAGGCCGTGATCAAGCAGAACAACCTCGTTCTTTTTGGTCTGCGGACACTTTCGGACCAGCACATTGCCTGGGTGGGGGTCACAGTGAACAAAGCCGTGGACAAAGATCATTTCACTGTACATCTTGCCCAGGTTTTCTGAGATCTGTTGAAAACATGAAGGGGAATGTGTAAAGTTAAATCAGAAAAAGAAGAAGAGAGAAGAAGCTTAAAATAAGAGTTCAGCAGTTCTTGGTTTGTGCTGTTCAAGAAAGAAAATGTAGAAGTTTTTCTGTCTTTTTGACCCAAATGCAGAAGAAATAAATGAGTCTGATGGCAGTGAGTCCAAGAAAAATGCAGTTTAATTACTACAAAGACAAAGAGGGGAAAAAAGCCTTCAAAGCTGACGGCAGGAAAAGCACTAACCTACTAATCAGGTGAGATGAGAGATGAGAGATGGCCTTTATTTGTCAGTTGCAGGTCTTTTGCCCACAACCGAGATGACAGACCTTGCTGACCGTACATACAATACACAAACATCACATTGGGGAGACAGGTCAGGCTAGGTAGCGAGGAAAAAAACATTGAAATGTGTAACACAGAAGGATAATACAGGAATGCACAGATATCAACACACCACAGCACAATAAACACAGACAGCAACATGGGGAAGAGTTCCAGTGTGTACATCTGATCTGGGACCGCTGCAATCTTCGACTGCGCCTCCAACTGACCCGATGTCCACATCAGAGGGGAGGCAAGCGTTGGAGGTGGCATTGGATCCAGGGTAGGGAGGGTGATGCGTCAGTGAGTGCTTATCAGTATCAGTATATGTATGTGTGTGCGTGTCCATAGTTCAGCTGAGACAGTGTCCTTCGCCCTGCCAGGCTAAGTAAACAGTCTTCCAGCCAACCCAGGTGGCCTTGCATGGAATGGGAAGAACAAACTCAACACAGTCGTTATCAGGGAGTTTTTGTTCGGCTCTGGCTTTGAGCCCACAGCTGGCGCCGATGGGATAGCCGCATTATGATGGTCATGAGAATTTCAAAGCTGTTCTTTAACACTCCAACACTGGTCTCTCAATCTCCCGTTGGAGAACCGCAAGTTTCTCCATGATGTTATCAAACTTGTGCTCTGTGGTCTTGTCATTCTTGTGCTCAAAGAGCAGATTCTGAGACCTCACGACCGCAGTCAGCTGCTCCAAGATGTAATCTGACTACCACTCAGAGGTGTTGTTCGAAGTGGACTTTTCCCTGATGTAATCCAATGTACGCTCAGAGGTTATTCTGAGTATTCATGGCAGCCGTAAGCTTCTCCAAGGTCTTAACCGTGCTGCACTCAGTGAGCCCTTTCTGTGAAGTCGCACCTCATCCCAGCGGACAGTCTTGTGGGCGTTTGAACAGCCGGTTCCGCTTTCTTAATTCTCCAATAAGCCAGGGCCAAGCCAGCTCCGATCAGCAAGAACCCTGTTATCATGGTTTCGAATAGGTCGATATCTTCAGCGTCCTCGATCGACAGTCCCGCCAGGCACACGATCCTCCATTTCTGCCACCCGTCCATCGTGTATCCGGCAGGGAAAGTACCTCCAGGACACTCGGGCTCTCCCGAGCCCAGACTTCTCGTTGAGAAAAGGGTGTCAATAGCATTCAGAGACCAGTTGATCAAATCCATAATTCTCTTTAGGTTTTAGAAAATACAATAGTCAGAAACAATAAACATAATGTTCTGGAGTAAAGTGCAGACAAGAGGAGGGAGACCGAACGAACAGGTGAACAGAATCAAGACAATTACAAGGATTTGCAAAAACCATATTTTTAAACGGTGTCATGCTGCGGCGTTGCCTCAGTTCTTCACTTACACTGTTTCACAGCTTCACTCCACACACAGAGGTGGTTCCTGGAGTACTGATATCCAAGATGGCGCCTGCCAGAGGTCGACGTTGCGGAGCTCTTTGAGTCAAGTTACTTCTTTTTTTTTTTCTTTTCTTCTTCCGAACCACACAAAAGTTCACTGTGACCGAGGGACCTTATTGTGACTGAGAGAGCGCAGCGATGTTGGACTGTCTGACCCGTCCTCGCTGGAATCCTTTCCTGAGCTAGCAGGCTATGCTGACTCAACGCTAAGCCGACCACTGACAGGGAGCCCTCCTGGCTGGGGGAAGGACACCCGATGAGGCACTAACACCTACATAGCCTACAGGACTGTTTCCTTGTCCTGCAGGCGTTTGTTTCTTTTCTTTTCTTTTCTACAGATTTGTAGTCAGTGTTAGCATGAAATTTTCATGGACAAAAGTTGGCCAGAAATACTATTTTTAGTTTTGCTATGAACACTCTTTCCTGTGTTTAATGCGTTTTGCTACTAAAACAGTTGTGCATAAATAAAAATACTGGTAGCCGCCAGTGCTACCCCTTAGCTTCCTAGTAGATGCACCAATAGTATTAATTTAAAGATCCTAGGTGGTACCTTTCTCGATTTTTTGTGTTCACAAGATTTTCAGAAAATTTGGCCTCTGACATTGACCGTGAGGTTAAAGTCACTGGGATTCAAACATCTCAGAGACTTTTAGTAGACACACTTATGGTATCAGTTTGAAAATGCTAAGTGACTTCCTTCATGAGAGTTTGGATTCACATTAATGGGTGTCCACAGTGCCCTCCCACCCAGGTGGTGATGACAGTACCCATCAGCCTTTTACAGCTGAGGGGTGAAAAGATGACACACAGGACGTCAGGACACGTCCTGTGTAGATACAGACGGGTGGGAGGGGGGACAACCGTCGCACACAGCTCACACCTGCACGACCTTGAATATTAGTCAGTAAGCTATTAACCATTAACCATCAGAGTGCAGGCAGTACCTCATTGACATTGATGCCATGTGTCTGCATGTAATCCCTGTCATTGACTTGGCCCCCGTCTGCAAACTCCATGGTCAGGATTCTCTTGGTGGAGAGATTCCAGTGGATCATGGGAATCTGGACAGAGAGATGTGCAACAGACGATGGGATGTGCAGGTTTATCCTCTATATCTTTTTCACATTTACTCACTGTTCAGTCTCCTGTGAAGCTGTTTAGCAGAGGTTCATTAGAAGGCTCAGTTCTTATCCTGGTACTATTTTAAATGAAATGAAACAACTGCTTCAAAGGAGTAAATCTAGTGTACTTTAGGTTATTTAGTAACATTCAGTTGAAAATTAGTTAAATTCCACTCATTACAGTTTACAGGAGAAAAATGTGAGTAAGAAACATAAAAGTCGGCAGAATGACAGATGAGCCTGTGAAAACAATTAACAATTACATTTGTTATTGGACCAAATTTGAACAAAATCATCTTTTATTCTGCCAAATTTTATGTCTCTGTCAAGTTAAATTGAAGCAATAAAAATGCACAATACACCGTGACAAGAAAGAATAAAAAAAAAAGTAACATTTCTAACTGTAAGAACATAAAAACCGAACAAAGAAAAGCAAGTCTCAAAAACAGCACCAGAAAAATTTAATGATAACTGACAACGCAGCAAACGGGAAGCTCTCATAGACCATAAAAACTCTGACCTCTGTTAACTGTAAGAATCATATTTTATAAATCAAAGGCCTTAAATTAAAACCAGCTGTTTAGAATACATGTGTACACAAAACTGTTACACTGTTACTCTAAAGGGAAGTCTCATTTTCATGCATGCCCATATCAGTACCTTAAGAAAGTGAAAGTGGGCCAACATGTCGGCCACCTTCTCAGCATTGCGTCCCTCGTTAAGGAAGTCCAGCTCCAGAGGCATGTTTTTCTTGGCCTCCTCCACCAACCACATTAAGGCAAAGTCCGGGAAGAGCCAATGAACCGCCTTCAACAACACCTTCAAATTAAATACATATATCCAAAAAAGAAGAATCAGTCTCACTGTAAGCATAATAAAACAGCAAACATATATACAACGGTACCCTCTCAACATATTAATACATATTATAAGAGTGGCTGATTAGACTCTCCCTGCAAAGATCATTACTAAGCAAATCAAGTGTGAGGACAGAAAATTGCTGTTCAGCAACTCTCTACATCATCACTTAATGCCGGCACTTAGCTGCGCTCCTGGCTAAAGTGCTGTTTGGAACAGCAGACGAGATGAGCTTCATCACTTGTGAAAGAGGCTCTTCTGAGTTCATTAGTCAAGGTTAGAACTGCTCAGCATGTAAAAACAGATGCAAAATGTCTTCCTGTTGCTCTAAAGGAGTGTCGTCAAATCTGCTAACGTGCATGAGGTTAGAACAACCACGTCACAATACAACGATCTCGATACCGGACGAGGGGTGTTTCTCTGGGTGGAATCAGCTGACGAGGCTTTTACAAAATATTCCTTTCTTTCAAAATGTGGTTGAACAGTAAATGTGAAAAGTCATCTTTTCAGGCTATAACGAATACTTGAATTCAGCTCAAAATTCAACAGATATACATGGTACATAGTAGCTTCCACTTTGTTATTATACCACTTACAGTTTGCTGTGGAATAGTTCATTGTGCAGAAAGGTGACAGCTGGACTTGTTGCACAGGTGGCATCCTACCCTGGTACGTGCTGGCTAAGCTCCTGTGAACTGCCTATTGTTTCAAAAATGTTCGTCTGGCACGGAAGCGACTGGAACACTTGAATTCAATGACAGCGTTAATGATAAACCTACTAGCTGACAAAGTTGTTGTCAATAAACTGATCATAAGTTTAAACTGATTGATTTGCATTAGGCCAATGGACCAGCCCCACATGTCCTAACTCATTCAAAAGCAGTTGAACAGACAGAGACTCACTTCCATTACTAGGATGTCGTTGGCGCTTTGTTTCTGGACTTTGGGGTGTTGGATCTTGACTGCCACCGTCTTTCCATCATGTAGCACTGCCTTGTGGACCTGTGCTAAGGAAGCTGCACCCTGAGGCTTCTCTTCAAAGGAGAGAAATAATTCTGACAACTGGAGGAGACAGAGGGGGGATGAGGGATTATGAAGGGAAAGAGGTGAAGAATTAGGAGATGGGAACAACATCAAAGTACACGCACACACACGCACACCCTGCCTGCTAGCATCTTGCACATCCTCTTGTTATGTACTGGATTGCCTCAGATTGTGTTTTCCCACCTTTGCATCTGATTTTTAACACACTGCCACCCTGTTTGTTTCACACACTCCGAGAATCAATAAGTGGCCCCATCACAATAAAATCTGCTGAGAAGTTTCCCTCGCAAAATCAAAAAGCAACGGAAACCATAATTGAGTCTGAAATTGGCACAGTTAACTCCATAACCGACTGTAAAGTAAGAACATAAGACAGCTGAGTGGGGAAGTAAAATACTTCTGTTTTTAAAATAAATACTTTGTGATGACGGTCTACAGCAGGTAAAACACATCAAAATCACAGCTGCTCTTACAGTAACACACTATCTTCAAGTCCTTGGGTTGCCTTTTATGTTTAAATGTTTCTATTAAATATGTCCATGCTATGAAAATTATATATTTTTGAACAGTTTTGTCAGATAAAAATGCAAATGGGGGTTATGATTATTAAAAGTTTACTAAATTAGTCAGTAAGACAATGAACAGTTGAAGAATACAAAAAGCAGTTGGTAATAAAAGTCAAACTATCAAAGAGTTCTGCACATGTTTATACAGGCAGTATTATTAGAATCCATAACATACATTTTCATTGCTATATAGATGATACCCAGCTTTATCTACCCATGACACCAGGTGACACACACCTTTTTACATCACATGAATGCCTTAAAGACATAAAGACCTGGATGAGCGCTAACATCCTGCTTCCAAATTCAGATCAAACTGTGGTTATTGTATATTAGAAACAATGTATCCAACCAGATTATTATTATTAGAATCATCCTGTGTCACAGTGACAAATTAGTCAATGCATTTATTACTTAGTTTGACAATTGTAGTTTATTATTGTCAGGTTATCCTAAAAACTCCCTGAAACACCTTCAGTTGCTGCAGTGTCCTACTGAAAGGGACTAGCAGGACGTTTCCCCTCACACTGGCTCATTATTGTCCCCCCAGATAAAACCAGTATTAAATTTCAAATCCTTTTCCCTGGGGTCTTACATAATCAGGCCCATCTTATCTTAAAGACCTCAGGTCTGTCTTCTTCGGCTGCTGGTCTTCTTGTGGTTCCTCGGGCGTTTGAAAGCAGAGTGGGAGGCACAGCCTTACACTGCATTAGGCCTAGGGCAGGGGTCAGCAACCCGCGGATCCGGGTGGTTATTTTTTTTCATTGCTCAAAATAAGCGTCACACTCGCGGAAGCCGGTATACTCGCCGAAACGCCGTGCATTTATCGAGACTTTCGACCCCAGTTAGGCCAGTTATGGATCTTCGGATCCACATTATGTCAGCAGCTCCACCGTGAACTATGTTAAAACAAACACCGCTCACGCCTCACAGATGACAGCTTACAGTCCTGCGTAAAGATGAAAGTGACTTCGTACAGCCCCGATTTGCAGACGCTGTGCGCAGAGGTTCGGGACCATAAGTCTTATTGTAAACATATCACGGCAGACCCGACGATGTTTCCATGAACACGCTTTTCAGCATCTCTTTACTGACCACTTTTCACACACGGTTGCTATACGCACACAGCCGGCTGTAGCTTTTCAGCTCACAGCCCGACACACAACAGCAGAGAGAGCACAGACGTTAAGGCGGCGAGGCGTGATTGCGGGTGCCGCTCAGGTGCGTCCGCCTCCCCTGCAGCGGCGCTGCAGACCACGCCCCGCCACACACATTAACCAGGTAAAATATATATTTAGGCAGAATTTTGCAAATATCTATTTTTCATTTTTTAGCAGCATAGAGTTTTTTTTCCAATTACTTTTTAAAAGTCAGGTCAAGGCTCCAAAAGCCCAAAGGCGATATAAGGGGGCGGCTCACAACAGTTTTTGTTTGCTGGATCATTTTAGCTCAGCTGGGTGTCTTTCCTTTTGTTATATTTCTTTAAGAGTTCAAAATGTGTTAATTACATAAATAAAACGTAACTTTCTCTGTAGCACTTCATGGATTTCATAAGCAACACACCTTAGTTGCTCTGTGGATTCTTTTAAAAAGCAGTTAAAAACTTTTCTGTTCAAACAAGCCTTTTGTTGATCTACGTATTTTATATTCTTTACATTCTTTACATTTGATCTTTTACATTGTGTATAATGTCTATTGATTGTATTGTTTATTTTAATATTTGTGTACAGCGCTTTGTGACTGCCACAAAGCATAAAAGTAAAAAACCATATATACAGTGTTATCTTCATTTTAGATGTCAAAAAGTATTTGTGGCTCCCAGTGTTTTCTTTTGCGGGGAAACCGGGTCCAAGTGGCTCTTTGGTGTTAAAGGTTGCAGACCACTGGCCTAGGGGCTTCCCATGATGCATGAGTGTTTCTTCTTCAATCCCCTCTTTTTACTCTCTGTGTTTTTACACCACTCTGCATTTAAACTATTATTCATCTCTGGTTTCTTCAGCATTGTGTCTTTTGTTTCCCTCCCCTCACCCCCAACTGGTCACGGCTGCCCCTCCCTGAGCCTGGATCTGACAGACGACTGTTGCTGTGATTTGGTGCTATATTAAGTCAAACTGAATTAAAATCTGACTTGGATGAGATATATGAGGTTCAGTCATGAGTGATTCAGGGTTCGCTTCATTAACCTGTAATTTGGGAGGTGCTGAAAAGGATTTTTCTGAAGAAAAAACGTGATGTGTGATGTTAAAAACCTATCTTAATCATCTGATTGTCAGCTTTGGGAGAGCAAATTTCAAAAGTCAAACATACTGTAGCACAGGGTTAGTCTGTCACACTGTTTTACAAGGTGTTTGTAACGTTTAGCAGGAGCAATACTGAGGTTTTCATTAAAACTTGGAATCAATTAGGCCTTGAGCTGAAACTGAACACTGGGGAATAAAACTGCATCATCACTTTGTTTTGCAAATAATTTTTAAAATTATGTAAAATAAAGTTGCAAAAACCAGTGGCGCTTTTTCAAATTCTTCTGTATTGAGTTGTGATTCACACAGATTCATATCCTGCTGACTGTTAAGTTTAGTGCTGGTCACATGCGCTGAACATGACACTGCATTCACAGGTGAAAGGGAAATTTAAAAACCAGAACTGAGACTTGTATGTTTAATGTATGATTCATGATATCTGTTTTTTTCATATCAGATGTTAATATTTGCTGTATGTGTGACGATGTTTGTGCAAAGTTTCACTGGGTACACACAGACGTTACAATCGTTATAGGAAGATCATTACATATGAGAACATATTTGTTAACCGACTGTTAGTCACTTTCCAGCTGAATAAAATCTACAGCAGCCAAGAGAGGTCATCATACTCCAACATATGAAACAATTAGATTAAGAGACATTTTAAATACAGTGGGGCAAAAAAGTATTTAGTCAGCCACCGATTGTGCAAGTTCCCCCACCTAAAATGATGACAGAGGTCAGTAATTTGCACCAGAGGTACACTTCAACTGTGAGAGACAGAATGTGAAAAAAAAATCCATGAATTCCCATGGTAGGATTTGTAAAGAATTTATTCGTAAATCAGGGTGGAAAATAAGTATTTGGTCACCTCAAACATGGAAAATCTCTGGCTCTCACAGACCTGTAACGTCTTCTGTAAGAAGCTTTTCTGTCCCCCACTCGTTACCTGTATGAATGGCACCTGTTTGAACTCATCATCTGTATAAAAGACACCTGTCCACAGCCTCAAACAGTCAGACTCCAAACTCCGCCATGGCCAAGACCAAAGAGCTTTCGAAGGACACCAGGAAAAGTATTGTAGACCTGCACCAGACTGGGAAGAGTGAATCTACAATAGGCAAGCAGCTTGGTGTGAAAAAATCAACTGTGGGAGCAATCATCAGAAAATGGAAGACATACAAGACCACTGATAATCTCCCTCCATCTGGGGCTCCACGCAAGATCTCATCCCGTGGGGTCAAAATGATCATGAGAACGGTGAGCAAAGATCCCAGAACCACACGGGGGGACCTGGTGAATGACCTGCAGAGAGCTGGGACCAAAGTAACAAAGGTCACCATCAGTAACACACTACAACGGCAGGGAATCAAATCCCGCAGTGCCAGACGTGTTCCGCTGCTGAAGCCAGTGCATGTCCAGGCCCGTCTGAAGTTTGCCAGAGAGCACATGGATGATACAGCAGAGGATTGGGAGAATGTCATGTGGTCAGATGAAACCAAAGTAGAACTTTTTGGTATAAACTCAACTCGTCGTGTTTGGAGGAAGAAGAATACTGAGTTGCATCCCAAGAACACCATACCTACTGTGAAGCATGGGGGTGGAAACATCATGCTATGGGGCTGTTTTTCTGCCAAGGGGACAGGACGACTGATCCGTGTTAAGGACAGGATGAATGGGGCCATGTATCGTGAGATTTTGAGCCAAAACCTCCTTCCATCAGTGAGAACTTTGAAGATGAAACGAGGCTGGGTCTTCCAACATGACAATGATCCAAAACACACCGCCCGGGCAACAAAGGAGTGGCTCCGTAAGAAGCATTTGAAAGTCCTGGAGTGGCCTAGCCAGTCTCCAGACCTCAACCCCATAGAAAATCTGTGGCGGGAGTTGAAAGTCCGTGTTGCTCGGCGACAGCCCCAAAACATCACTGCTCTCGAGAAGATCTGCATGGAGGAATGGGCCAAAATACCAGCTACTGTGTGTGCAAACCTGGTAAAGACCTATAGTAAACGTTTGACCTCTGTCATTGCCAACAAAGGTTATGTTACAAAGTATTGAGTTGTATTTTTGTTATTGACCAAATACTTATTTTCCACCCTGATTTACGAATAAATTCTTTACAAATCCTACCATGTGGATTCATGGATTTTTTTTTCACATTCTGTCTCTCACAGTTGAAGTGTACCTCTGGTGCAAATTACTGACCTCTGTC